ATCAATAACTTGCATCCTTAATTTATACAGGAATGAAATTAATTTTTATCTACTCATATTCGTGTAATTAAATGTTTTAATGAGTTGGCCGATTAATCGAAAAAATAATCGACAGATTAATTGATTATTAAAATAATGGTTAGTTGCAGCCCTACAAACAACAATAATCCTCAGTTAACAAAACAAGAACATCAAATCATTCTAGAACAAAAGAATTATATGTTTAGACCTTATACAGTTTCATATTTTTTCAACAATCCAATCTTTATCATTCTCTTAAACATATACATTGATGTGGCACTTTTAACATCATTTTTCCAGATTATTCCACAATCTGACTCCTTGGATTGAGGTGCACCGTTCTTTCAAACATGTTCTAAATGTAGGTTTCACGAACAACTCTGTCCTCTTAAGATTATAACGGCTCTCTCTCTCTCTTTGCAAAGTTTTTCTGGATGTTTATAGGTAAGGTGTTAAGGTGAGCCCTATACATAACTATATTGTAATCAACCAAATCATAAAATTTCAATAATTTCAGTTTACAGAATAATATATTAGATGGATAATGGTAATGTTTTCAAGTGATAACTCTTATAGCTCTTTTCTGCAAAACAAAAACAGGATGTGTAATTGTCTTAAATACTTTACCTCATACTTCAACACAATAGACCAAGTGTAGAACAATTAATATGTTGTATAACATATACAGAGCTTTGTCAATGAAAAAGTCTCTTACTTTGTAAAGCTACGCAATAGATTTAGCTAGTTTTATTCTTAAGTAATTAACATGAGGTCTCCACGTCAGYTTCTCATCAATAACACCCAAAAACTTCACCTCATTGACTCTACTAATCTCCACACCATCAACTCTAAATGGAGTATTAACAGATTTTTTTGGTCATTGTAAATATCATATAATTAGTTGTACCCAAATTGAGTGATAATTTGTTAAGTTTAAACCAGTTTTGTATTTTCACAAATTCTGCTTGCATTTTCTCTAACAACCGTTCAATGCCTTTACCCGAAAAAAAAAGTGGTATCATTTGCAAATAAAACATTTAAAGAGCCCTGACACATTAACCAAGTCATTCACATACAAGATAAACAACTTTGGTCCAAGTATAGAACCTTGAGGAACTCCACACGTAATTCCGCATAGTTTTCATTTCAGGGTTGAATTGAATAGTAAGTAGCCCATCCATTGTCAAGAGGTGCAAACTGGAGCTGTAGCAGCAAAACACAAATGTAGAAAGTTCAGCTCTGAAGCTGCTCAAACTAGTTCTTTATTTATTTGTTTATTGGACAGGAAACGACAGAATGTTCTTACTTCCTCAGCAGGTTGTGTTTACCTGGGTTCTCAGGGTGATCAAGTTCTCCTGGAACTTTGTTTCTCTCAGGTCCCAACAAGTACGACGAGGCCGCGGCTTACATTCAGACCAAATTCGAGGACCTGAACAAGAAGAAGGAGACGAAGGAAATCTATACCCACTTCACCTGCGCCACTGACACCAAGAATGTGCAGTTCGTGTTCGATGCCGTCACTGACGTCATCATTAAGAACAACCTGAAGGACTGCGGCCTGTTCTAAAAACATTTCAGAGCGTCATGGTGAGTCGAATAAAATCACCTTAAATGTTCCAGAAATGACTGATGTCATTATATATCAATATTTTTCTTGTTCAGATTACTTGAATAGTTCTGATGACCAGGATGAGGTGAGGGAGAGACAACACACATCATGAGTGACTGCACTGTCCAACCACGATTTCTGCTTCGACCTGCTTTTTATAAAGACACCTAAGAGACTGAAAACCCGACAAGCCTCGCCGATTTTCAACCATCCCTTATCCAGCTGCTTGTATTGTTAACTCTTTAAGCTTCGACCACAAAAAAAAAAAAATAAAAAAAAAATAAAAACGGGGAAAAAAGAAATGAAAAAAAGGGAAAAAATCATTTATTATTCAATTTTTTTGTTTTTGTTTTTTCTTTATTATTTCCAATTACTAGAGGATGGAAAGGATACTGTTTTTATATAAATGCATAAATTTTACTTGTAGATTCTGATGTCCAAAATGTTAAACTTTTAATCACATGAAACTTTTTTTTTGTAAACAATAAAGCACAGGCGTGAACATAAGGAAGATTAATAAAAGAAAAGTGCTTGTTTTTGTTTTTTTATAATGTTTACATTGGTTGATCATTTATAGCCAAACTGTGTATTGTTCTGCATGACTCCACATGACCAATATTAGTTCTGTAATCTGCACAAATTATCTAACATTTCTACAAAATGATTAAAAAAGGTTAAAAAATAGAGAAAATGACTTCACCTGGGGTCTGACGGAATTCTAACATATATTTAAAGTATGTGTGTACCTAACATTCTGTCACTTTTATAGTACCATTCTGTGTCTATTACAGTATGTTTGTGCCTTTATTTTTGTTTACAGCCACTTCTTAGATATGCTTTCTTTACTGTTTGTCCTGCTGTGTGATTGAATTTTTCTTCCGTGTTTTTTTTTTTTTCATTGCCTAGAACCTATGAATATATGGTGATTATTAATGAGAGACGAAAATCTAATTCAGAAAAAAAGTTTAGTGTTTTTGGGTAATATTAAAAAACTGCTTTTAAAAAAGATCTTTTATGATTTAATTTAAATAAAAGTAGAAATCACTCTTGCATATTGTTTTTCCGTCTCTTTGTTACTCCTATTTTTATGATTTGGTCTGTTACTTCAGCAGTTTTGTTAAAGCTGATTTTATGTCTATGCAAACAAACCATTTTGACTTGTTTTACAAAGATGCTCAAACATTCTGGAAATATGAGAGTTGCTTGTTTCAGTAAATTTTTGATTTATGCCAGTTAACATCTTTTTGCAGGAAAAAAACTGCTAGATTATGGAATAAAATGCTAAACTATCTACATTAAAGTCAGTGTAAGATGCTACTGAATATATATATATNCAAACAAGACTGTTCAATATTGGGATTAACCACTGTAAATTATTCTTTACAGTCAACCAACAATATAAACTTTTCAGCTTTTGAGGCACAGAATAACTGCAGAAATTCAAGAATCAACAAATGTTAAAAGCCTTTTGGAAAAACCATACTTGTCAACCATTAGACATATTTTCAATCAATTCACAGCTGTTTTGATCTCTCTGTAACAGTTTGCCAATTATTTTCTAAATAATTAGATTTCTGCAGATCTTCGTAAGACTCAGCTTGTATGACTCAGTGGGGTACCAGCTTTTCAAGATTCTGCAATTAACTACTAACTAACCACAAAATCTGTTTTACAGCTGGATTCCATTAATGCAGCCTGCATGTAATTTACACAGAGCAATATCGCCCTCTACTGGACACTGGTTTAACTTCTTTTCATGACGACACTTCACACCTGCACTACTACTCTCCTCTTTTTAAGAGACATATTAAACTGTCTCTGTCACTGTAATAACTTAATATCACTGAAAACTTTAGATTTGCTCATTTAGATCATCTGAGGTGATTGAGCTGTTTGTTTCTGCCATCACTTCACCTGCCATGAAGAGGGAAACATTTTAAATAACGTTTCAGAGGAACCATCTATTTTAATTTTGTCTTAAGTTAAAAGTGAAACTTTAAATTTAGTTTCATGCCTTAGCAGGTTTTGTTTAGACTCTAAGGCTCTTTGGTATGAGTGATGTTGATGTGGAGGAGTGTGCAGCTGCTCCGATTAGTTATTAATAGCTGAAACCGTTATCTTCACAGGTCATGAAAAATGTCAGAGTTTGGGATTTTTACTGAGTGCGAGTGAGCAGATGATGCATAATAATAGTAATAATAATAATGTTAATGATGATGATCATGATGGGGGTGATGAATTTTATTTGCAACCCACCTTTTATTAGCAAAAATGTCAAAGTGCTACAAAACTGCAAAACACACAGTAAATAATAAAACTGGTAAGAAAAAATAAAATAAATAAATTCAGACTAATAAAAACAACAAAAACTGAAAAAAAAAACGAGATGCATTGATAACGAAGCTCCATCACGAACAACATTTTCTCATACAGCATTCATTTTAAAACTAACATAAATCTCAGCTCATTGTCTGCAGGACTGTTTCTAATCTGTTTAAGCTCCTCTAGGTGGCGCTGCAGCTCTTTGTCTGAACTTTAGACAGTTTGAAGGATCACAAGGCTGCTAGGCTTTCTGAAATTTTCTGAAAAGGGTTTATACGAGCTGAAATACACTAAACTCATCTTTGATGCAATTATATTTATTTTTTATGGAATAAATCTACATTTTATGTATTTGAGACAACCACTAGTTGATCTAGTTTAGACGTAGATGGACAGATGTCCTTTGACATGTAATGGTGTATAGGGGAGCACTCAGCAGGAGGAAATACAAGTAAATGATTTGAAATTTTTTTTTAACTCTTTGACTCCTTTCATCTCAACGCTCAGCCTGAAAAACTAAAATCTTGCAACATTCAGGACTGTCATGTCAACAGAAAATTGTCCCATCTAAGATAATAAACAGTCCATCTCTGGCCTTGATTGGTGCGGATTTGTTCAAGTACCAGCTTGTACAGCAATCAACCCACTGAGGCATCAAGAAAGCAGGAATGAAAATGCTGAAAAATAATCAGTTCCATTAGCAGCCCCCCATAAGTGTAATTGCCTAATTCATGGACTGCTGGACTGTAAAGAGGGGGGCTTTTAGGAAAAATAAATGGGTTTYTCCTTTTTGCAGGGACCTAATGTTGCCATGAAAAACAAGCTTTGGCTACAGACTGGGGTGAAAACATGTAGGATGTTTGTGTGTAACCCTGGGCCCTGCTCCATCCTCCCCCCTTAAACATTAAAAATAAAAGACCTTTGTTCAGCAACAGAGCAATCTGACACATTGATTCAAACCGTAAGGTTGTATTTACATGATAATCTGAGTTTGATGGTTACCGGTGATGTAAAAGCTGGACTGATCCGCATCTAAACAGCAGCTTATCAGACCCTGAGTACTCAGGTACATTCCTCTTTACTCCATCAGATTTACATAAACATTCAGAACCTGGATGGTGTCAAACGACTGTTCGTGGTGACAGCTCAGTGCTCCTTTATGGTGCAGATGATTTCATTTGCATCTGTGACTTTTAGATGCAAGTCACCAGCAGGACTGAGWGGTTCAACATGATCGGATAAAAGGAAGTGATCAGGTTTGAGCCAAAACTTTCATCTAAAAAAGAACAGAAAACAAAATTATATGAAGATGTAAATATATATGCATGTATCAAATGACATGGGAAATAAGTAACCGTTTAAATTCAGTAAATTACTTTATATGAAAATAAACAAAAGATTTGAATCTGACAAAACTCACATAAAGACATCAGCAGTGATTATGTTGTTTTATTACAAATATTTTTAGCAAATCAAGGAACAAAACATTTTTTTTACACTTTATAGCTTCTTCCCCTGAGGTTTCACTTGCGCTTATCAACTGCACGTTTGGACTAAATTCCAAGTATTTGGGGTTAAAACAATTTGACATAAATTAAATCATTTGTGTAAACTGGGGGACACTTAACTAAAACTAAAGTGGAACTTAAACTATTTCTATTTCTAAATTTTATCAAAGGGGGTGAAACCCAATTTATTATTTTTATTCTAATGTAATTTGTATTTCTACCAGATTTCCTGTTGTTAAGTAGTAAAGTAAACAGCTTTGTTACACAGAGAAGAGGATGCTTTTAACAGCTTTGTGCATGGACATCCTTTATGTCTGGTTTTGTGAGATTAGAGTGGAAACGACCAACAAAACACAGCCGCTGGATTTCCAAATGAGCTGTATGAGCATCCTGCGCGCTGATTGGCTGATTTAGCTTTGAGTCGCTGCTGATTGGCTACTGCCTGTAAAAAGAGGCGGGACTGAGAGGTTTACTCAGCTTCACATCATTCAGCTCACACAAGTGGAGGACCGCTCTCCAGCACGACACTCTACACTCTGACGCCTCCCAACGATCCCTAATCTTTTATGGAACTTTTATCGCGAGCTGAACGAAGGAGGTCACATTTACAGTAAGTATTAACATTATTTACTTGTGTTAGCTTGATTAAAACATGTTGTTGTGACTTTTCTCTAGGAAATCAGAGTTTTAAATTGAATTTTGTATTTTTTTTGTGTGTGTAGAAAGTGACTGCTACGAAAAGGACGAAAACATGGTGAGCTTACCTTATAATTTGTGTAATCCTTTTGTGTTGTGTTTGTATTAAAGTAAACAAAGAACTGTTGAATATGTTCTGAGCTGCACAGCGCGAGGTGGGAACATCTGTAACATCTGCCAGCAAACACAAAAACAGCTCTGCAGGAGGCTGATGGATGCTCAGGTTCTTCTGCAGTTTGAGTTCAGATGTTTTCCAAAGTCATGCAGCAAATAGAGATCCTTGCTTTGAGTTTAAATGCATTTTATTTGCATTTAATATATTTTGCATTATCAGCAGCACATATAGAAACACAGTTGTATAGATTTGTAGGTTTGTTGCAGCTGGAATTCTTCTATAACCAGGTTTGAGGCTTGATTGTGTTGAAGTTTATTGTTCTGCTGAATGTTTATTATATTAGATCTGATGTCCAGTGTAGAAGTTTGTGTCCCTCTGCACATGTTTTGAAAGACATATAAGAAAGCAATAGATAATTAAATGCATGTTAGGTAGGTTTATATTGATAAAAATTACAATTTCTGATTTGGAAGATGGGGAGTCTTTTTACTTACGTATTCATGATCACATGATCTCTTCCCTGTTTGAGTTTGAGAGTAAACTCGCTCCCCGACCAATCGCCTGTGTGAGTCAGGGGGGAATCAGTGGTGATCTGTTCCTCCTGGGTGGTGCTGACGAATTTCAGAAGCTGGAATGCTGTGTCCTCAAAACATCAGGACCCAGAAAACTAAATATGAATAGCTGAGGCTTTGTTTTATATTTATCTCATTGTGATCATGAACAGTTGAGGTTGAGTCGATTCACGCCCAGATCAATGAAAATGGGGCGTTCACTCGTTGCTTGGTGTGGTCGAGTAAATTAACGGAGAGATAAACTTGCTGTTATGACAGCCACTGTCTTCTTTAAGCAGCAGGTCAGCTGGATTTAGGATTTCAATAGGAGAAAAAGCGTTGCGTCACTGATTTATTAAACTTGCCCCAAAACAAGTCTGAACCTGTCTTCTGCAACACTTCAGCTGAAAGGTGTTGTCATATCCAGTAATCTACGTCTGTGGACTTTTTGTGTCAGGAAGTTTGGAGAATGACTGTTCCTCTCTTGTCTCCACAGCTTTGCTTACGTGATTCGGGGGGATGCTTGCAGGAGCAGATGCAGTACATGATGAGGTCACTCCAAGACCTGAAGCGACTGCGGAAAGCCTGCCCCGAGGCCAGGCGGCCCCTCGGCCCCCTCAACACCCAGCTCCCGGCTTTGGCGCGCCACTCGGCCCTGGCGCGAGCTTGTCAGCAGCGGGCGCTGCAGCGGGAGCAGCGAGCCCGCCTGCGCATGTCCGACGCCAGCACGGCCAGCACCTACGACTCGGCCTGCTGCCTGGTGAGCCCCCTGGAGGAAGAGGAGGAGGAGGATGGTGCGAGCGGGCGGATGAGCTTGAGACGGGATCTGCGCTCCCCCAGCAGTCAGAAAAGTCTGGAGTTTGATTCGGGATACTCTGAGGCCTCCTGGCAGGACGACGGCGTGGTCCTCAGGAGGACGAGGAACGTGCGCGTCTCGTCCTCCGCCTGCCTGCGGACAAACCGAGCTCAGAGCTGTCGCATTCGACCCAAATCCACTTCTGACGCCTGTCTGGAGACATGGACTTCATTCGAGGTCGGTGACCCAGAGGACTGGACTAACTCCTTACTGACCAGAGGGCGCAACCGCCAGCCTTTGGTTCTAGGAGACAACAGCTTTGCAGACCTCATACAGAACTGGATGGACCTGCCTGATTGTCCTGAACCCAAAGAGCTGCAGCCAAACTCCAGACAAAAACTGGGGCGAGGCTTCTTCGGCAACATGAGGAGGAAGCTGACCGGTTTTTCCAAAAGTGTGGAGGACAAGGTGCGGATGAGGTCTACGGACTCTTCTCACGTGAACAGAACTGCCAACGCCTCGAAGCGTCTGTCCTGTCCGGTTGCAGCGTCGCAGCCCAAAGTGCCGTTCTTCCATCAGTCCCACTCAGGCATCAATCAGATCGATACAGACTTCTACCACTTTGCAGCCGTCATGAAGTCCGGCAGCCGACAACCAATTATATGCAAAGACATTATTGGTTACATCTAACAGAGCTGTAAACAAACTGGAAAATCCTCAGAGTCACTTTATTTTTATATTATTTCACATTTTGGACGGGACTGTGAAACTGAAATGTTCTCACGATTAAAACCCCACATCTATTTATGTTATATTTTGCATGTGACACAAAAAGTATGTTAGCTGATTTGATTTTGAATCCAGACCAAAAGAAGGTTTTTATGACTGATTGTGGATTCCTCTGTTTTTTTTTTTTTATATTTTTTTTATTTAATTTTTTTATGTAAGACACTGGGTTATATCTGCATTTGAAGCTGCCTGGTTCAGTGTCATTGTTTAATAAATGAGAGAATTCCAAATAAAAGTGATATCACACATCTGGAGACTTTGGACTTTTTAATAATCTGTTTTCTGAGACATTTTAGTAGATAACGGGGGGTTTCGTGTTTCCTCCAGAAGTCTTGTTCACACTCAAGAAAAACTCAGAGGAGCTATAAATGGTTCAGTTTTTTTTTTTTTTTTTTTTTTTGCAGACCAGGACCAGAGGCTGTGTCAACACAAAGCTCTGGGTGCCTGATGAGGTAAGTCTGTGTGTAGGTGGAAGTGAAAGAGTTGAAACAGCTGGTAGCAGATGTAGAGGTTTGCTCACCAGCTAGCTTTGTGAAGCAGAACATCTCGCTAACAGCTCTCCGCCTCATTTAACCTGCTGTCCGCTCTGCTTGTGGAACCAACTGAACCAAACACTTTGGCTAATGGTTCAATTAAGTCAGGGCTCCCAAGGAAGGGACACACACACACACACACACACACACACACACACACACACACACACAC